TGTTTGCAGATTGGCGTTTCCCGCTCGACAAAGTGCAAATATGTGCAAATCAATAGATTTCGATTGATTTGGCCAAACTAAAGCAACAACTTCCCTAGGGATCCAGTCGTGCCTTCTCAGAAGGTAATTGGACCCTCCTGGCACCTGCATAACAGTGTCTCCGTCTTCACCTTCTGAGGTTCGGTACGAACGGATCGTTAGACCTTGATACCCAATCATGAGGTCATGCAAATCATTAGCCGTGTCAAAAATGGTTGCTACGAAACGTTGGGTGTCGTAGTGATATCACGTCATTTTCAGGCGTACTGATACCTCGTCCTCCTGTGGGAACCTCTGTTGGCCAACTTGTCAGGGTGGACCTTCGATACAGACAGTTGAAGCATGAAATTCCATCGGTCTGCATCAAAAACCGCAGCGCGAGTATCGGCCGAAATCGCTTTCATCGAATAATTAAGTTAAGAATAGTTCAGAAATAGATGTTGAAGAAATGCTGAATCAACAAAGGGTGAAGCAACCCCGACTATGTTCGACCATCCCACTTGGGCACCCCAGGTGACGGGTCCTAGGCCACTGAACCTCTCTTGGAAACCAGCCGCCGGGCGCCGCGGCGCAGCCCAGGCACAGTCCGCCTTGGCTGCGGTGCGCGCTCCGATGGTGGCCACGGGCAAAAAGGCACCGTCTCTCGGCGCTGGGTTCGGACATCGGTCGCTGCGAAGGGCCCGGAGCCGGAGTGAAAGATAGTTAGAATTGACTTCACCTCGAGTCTAGAAACAAGCACTTCCAGTTGAATCAGGAGGGAAGGAAGCTTGGCCCACTCCCCCAACCTCACACCGACCAGCCTCACAAGAGATCTATAAACATTTAGGTCAAGGGTAGACTGGGTAGACGACCTTGAGCCCTTGAGGGTCTATGGTCCTTCTTTTTCAATATGTGTTTCCCACGACACGTTGACCCGTGTACCGCTGACCTGATGTTTGCGGCTCGTTGGTACGGGTTCCGGACCTGTACCTGGCCTTCAACCTGCTGTAATAAGGCTTTTCAGAACATGGGTCTTAAAAGGGTCGAGCAGTTTGGGTTTGTAGACGGCGCCGAGTCATTTCAAAATAGCAAGGTGTGAACCCCTTGATAAAGCCAATATCTTGTGGTTTTCCAATTTCCATTTATATTTGTTGCTCCCCACCTGCCAGGTGAGGGTTGTTAGACTTTATCAGAGCTCTTCTCCCCTTCTTGGGGCGGGAAGGAAGGACGGAAAAGGAACATGAAGGACAAGGACACGAAAGGAAAGGAAAGGGAATGGAAGAAGGAAGGAAGGAAGCCACCCAAGAGCAACCTTCACAATTCACAGGAGAAAGGGGGAAACAAACATTGGAGCATATACCTTTTGTGGGCCATCCAGAGATAAAATCTAGAGCAGCAAAGGAGCTTGCAGTGTGTTTTTCTTGCACACTGTTCTTTGGGGGAGCGGCGCTGCGCCCTCCCCGCAACCCTCCTCCTGCACCACGAAATCTGCATCTCCGGATTCCTGCCTGCCGCGAAATCTGATTTTTAAGGGCCACACCTCTGCAGGAGTGTTCATTCCCTTTCCATTTTCCACTACCTCGCAATTTGGTATCGTGTTCCATGGAAATCCTTGCCAAAAAAAACCAAGAACAGAGAAACAAACAACTTGACTTAACCTTGGGCAAAACACAACAGAAACGGATGTAGAAAACAACAACATATAACCTATAATGTTTACTTTCGCTTCAAGGGTACGTATCAAGAACGTTTGTTCTCCATTTGGTTGCCCTCATTTTAAGCTAGCTAGCTAGGCCACAGAAGTTCCTGTTCAAGGTGGTTGAACATCGACATCGGCTGCGTTCATGATCCGTTGTGATGCTTCGCGGAACGGTTCTTTTGCGGACATTGCGAACTCCTTCCCGCGCCGCCCAGAAGGGTTCTGGTGCACCGTATGTGCACGTTTCCTCCACCGAACTCCACCGGCTTCGATTCCAAGGAAGAAGGCCAGTGCCAAGGCGCCGAAGGGTGCCAAGGTGCCGGCATGACGACCGGATGCGACGTCGTGCAGACTGGCCGACCAGTGGCCGGCATGGCAAGCTTGTGTGTGCTTTGAGATATTTATTGTTTAAATGTTTGCTTGGGATGATGGAACCAGAAAACGACAGACACCCAACTGTTAGAAGTGAAACGAGGATAGATTTCCTCAACGGAGGAACCACGCCCATGTGGTTTCCAAACACATGGACACACCTGCGGGTCAAACACATTTAGCACGGGCGACTGGGCTGTACTAGTATGCGTGCGGTAGAAGGCTCCCGGTAGAAGGGTCTTTTAGCAAGCCTTGGGGCAACTCATGCCAGCGACACCGGCGACACCTGTTACTTAGAGGAAAGAAATCCACCTGCATCCTCGGATTCCCTTGGATCCTGGAACCTTCAAAAGAGTGAATAGCAAGACGTCTCCGTTCAATTGACACTGATGGAACTTAAATGTTTGTGGGTCAAAACCTGGAGCGCCAAACCCTAGCACGTTGACCCTCCCAAAATCGTCCAAAAGTGGTCTAGTCTGTTCATTTTCGCTGGTCAACGGGGTCGTCCCCCCAGTTTTGACCGATGGATCCTTTGAAATGACCATGCTGAGCCCTGAAAGTACTCCTTCCAGTTCCAAACCTCCCAAGCCAAGTCTTCAGTAGGGCATACCTTGGCCTGAAGACGATGTAGGTGTTCTCAATTTCTCGAGGTTTCCTTGGAACCACAGGGCCATTGAGCTGAGGGTAGAAGTCAAATTGATGCAATTATCACGCTTGATCCCTGCCATAGGATCACCTCACCCTCCACAGGATTCACGTGCTTTTCAATGTGCAAATGCCCAAATTTAATTTCAGGGATTCAGGGGTTATATATAGTGTTATATATATACGGTTCCATGCTATAGTCTATAAGCTATGTTGGGTTCTTAAATTTATTCAGGGGTATAGGGTATTTGGTCAGGCTTTCCTGCTTACAGTGGATTGAGAGTAGATGGCACTGGCACCCCAAGATGTCTTTGATATAGGGGTCCATATAAACCACCGACCTTGGGGATTGCGCCATCCACTCTCAACCCAGTATATCCTGCGGATCCGGTGATGCCTCCCTCACCGTTCCGGCCAGGCCGCGCCAGGCCTCGCGTCGCTCACGGCGGCCTCGCTGCGTGCGGAGGCCCCCGAGTTTGTGCCAACCGGCTGGGAGTAGAAACGAGCCACTCGGCCGGAACCTTCCAACCACGCGGCGCGGCCACCGGTGGCCGTGGGGGCCATCATGGTGGTGGCTGAAGTACCTAGGTTTTGCGGATCATATTATTTGTCCTTGCAAGTGGATGTCGACCCAGACGGTCCGATCCTGGTCTTCTCCTTTCTTGGCTGCATAATTATGGTGGTCTAGATGGACCCCGGATCTATTTTAGACATCTTGGTGGTGCCATGGCACCTCTGAAAAAACCACTGCGTTTGAATTTGTGCATCAAAAACTCCCAACAGTTCCAGAGAACGATCCCTCCAGATCATGTCCAGATGGTGAGGCTGTGAAAAACAGATGAGCCGACCGAGCGGGAGCCTGCCGGTCCCTCCCGCACTGCTCTGAGGCTGGCAGAAATTTTACGCCCGGCCGAGTTGAACCCACCGGTTTTCTGCCACTTGTGCAGAGTTGGTTGGGAGTGGTCGAGTGGTCGGAAACCAGAAGCAGCGACCGGAGAAGGAAGCCAAGAAAAATCCAGTGCGAACATCTTGAACACATACGTTGATATCCACTGCGACCATGTGCGACCCGTTCTTTTTCTCGGACATATGTTCTTAGTTCTTTCGTGTAGGCGATATGTTTGTTTCGACCCGTTCCAAGTCCCAGACGCTCCATGTATGGAACATTTACATGCATTGGGATGATTTCAGGGGTCAATGTAGCCACATGTAGCCACATATTACATAGGGAGTGGTAAACATTGCTGTTCTACCATTTTTCTGAACTTTTATTGCACGCGCTGTCGAGGTGAGAGGATCACAGTGATCGTGGCTTAAGTGATGCACGGGGCACTGACCGGCACTGGCCGCTGAATAAAAAGAAGCCGGTGACACCTGCTCCAACCGGATTGGGGGGTTGTATATAAGCTTTCCGGCGTTTTTTGTGTGGGGTCTTTGTGTTGACTCTTGCTTGTTTCGTTGATATGCTGTCGTCAGGTTGTCGTGATGTGTTTCTTGACTTGCTGTGATATGTTGTCGTGATGGTATGGAACACCTGTCTCAGGTTTCAGATGCCCAAACGCCCAAAAACAACCTTCAATTTACATATTTGAGGTCCAGAACCTGTTGAACATCACTGCTGTGTTGTTTGGAGTTTTACCTTGCCTGGGGGGGCAATGTTCCACTTCTAGAAATGCCCTTTGCTAAAAAACATGTAATTGCGAGAGGTGGTTAGGACGATCACTGTTTTGGCAGTCTGTTTTGTTCTCCCTAGGCTTCCAACCACCGCTAATTTAGTGGGCTTTACCGAACCAGCTGAGGCTTTCACATGACTTCACACTACAAAACCAGGTCAACCAATGGTTGTATTTTACTGGAAGTCTAGCGTTCTCATATAGGGCTAGGTCTTATTGGGGCACTCGTGCGCCCCTTGGGGACAACGAATCCTCGCGAGTGAAGATGATTCCTTCAGGGAGTGGTTGCACGTTCCGAAGAGACTAGGAGTGCCGGGGTGTCCAAATCTCGCAGCAGGCGCAGCCTGGGAGGCCCAGGATTTGTTTGCAGGCAGCTTTGCACGTTAGCATGTGCTAGCCACTGTGACCCTAGACATCCCTAGACCATCCTAGACCAATCTTAGCTCCCCTACCTGGTCCCTACCTCCTTGTCCGAAGTCTTTGCCATGACTTCTTGGACCACTAGAGGGTAGGGGGATGCCCATTGAACAGCTTGAGCCTCCGCCACACCTTACACTGCCGTTCGACTTGTCCGGGGTTTCCTTGCTGGAGAGGATCTTTCACTACATGGGCGGTGCCTTCATATACGTCCGCAACAACTACTGGACGAGGCTCGAGATGGCTCGACGAATCCATCGGGCTGCACGCCGTCCGTCGTCGTCCTTGCCGATCGGTGGGGCCGGGAGGGGGCGCAGCTGCCAGCGTTGGGTGCGGAGTCCTTCACGTGCGGGCGCACGACGGTTCCAGCTTGTTTGGGTCCTTAGTGACGGTGAGGAGCAAAAACTGAACATGATCCCGGCCAGAGAACCCAAACAGTGTGTGTGAGGTCTATAAGCAGAAAGTCTAGGTGTTTTAAACTAGTTCCTCTCTTGGTTGGGGGCTGGACGCCTGGGGCGCCTGGGGCGCCTGGGGCGCCTGGGGCTGGATGCCGGCCGGTGTGGCCAAAGAGTCCCGTGGTGCGGTGCTTTGTGGTCTGGGACACGGGGACACGGAGTGTGACAGACACAAGAGGTGGGGCTGTGAGGGGGAGCAATGGCAACGAATCTGAAAGATGTAGGCGGGAATATGGAGGAATCGTTTCCTCTAACAGCGCATGTTGGGGCTTCATTGTTGCAGGCGAGATCAAGCGGAAGCTTGAACATATTTCAGGGAAATGTGGTTCCAGAACAGATTTGATGTGAATATCCTGGAGTGGCACATTTGATGGAGTTCTGTCGGTCACCTTGCTTTCCCTGCAGTTCATTGGGGGCATCATCACCATTGCCACCCCCGTGGCTGGAATCAAAGTCGGATGAACAGACCCAACTCGGACAGAGGTGGAAGTCCCACGGATACCCTACAGCATTGGCCCCAGATTTCATCCCCAGACTTGCCGTGGCCAGATTGTTGTGTAGCTTCCTGCTCTTTTCTCGGATGGCCGCTTGGACTTGCCGTGGATCACCACCCACGTGACAAGATCGATTTCGCTGCGGCCTCTTCGTTCTCAAAAGAATCCAGTCCGATGCCAGTTTCGGCTACTCTGTCAGTCTCCTCGATGCGCATCGGGTCCCCATCGCAGACGAGGCTTTCACGATCTTTCATGTATTTGTTTTCGATTTGATGTGGACAGGTTACAGCTGGTGAACCAGTGCTGGGCCTTGGCACACAAGCAGGAAGAGGCGCGGCAAAACGCGGCCATGTGCACCATGCAAGCTGCTCCGGCAAGGGATTTCAAGCCTTTTGGAGCACAGAACATGTGGGATTCCAACTTGTCCTTAACAAATAGCCTTTCATCAGACCGTCCACAGATGTGCTCCTCCAAAGCAACTACACCATTGCAAGTACCAATAGAACGCCTGATAAATTATTACTGTAATTAAATATATAAGATCTACTATCGATGATAACTAGATCATACTAGATCCAATACCCAGACACTCCATATATGCCGATCAATTGACCCCACCTGGCACCACCCCAACTGATCAGCATATATGGCAGTCCCATGGAGTGTCTGGGATAGGATCGTGGGCGAACACCTCAGATGGAGCCACCTGAGAGTCGGACCTTTCCTTCCTGTTCTCGCTCAGGGAGCTCAGGGCTTTGAGGGCGATGGCGACGAGGGGGGTGAGCAATCTCCCAAAAAGCCGCTCGGCTTGGAGGATCGCAAGTAGCTTGGAGGCCATGGACTTTGGTTTCGTGTGGCCGCGGAGTCTTCAGGGCGCAGGTTCGGAGAGTTTGGGCCCGGTTTGGGCCGGGCTCGGCACCGTTTTCTCTTTGGGGTGCGGGGGGCTTAAGCAACCTGGGCACGGGCACGGCAGTGGCTGGGCGAACTTCTCAGGCTCCCAAGAGCATTGAGAGATATTCAGATATTTTTTGGTGGGGATCCGGGTTTGGCGGATCAGGTGTTTCTTTCAATATTTTCCTATGGTTAAATCCGTTCAAAACGGTATTTGTATATATATATATACATATTTGTATATATGTTGTGTATCTTTCCAGCTTAAGCAAATCCAAGGGATGGAACAACATGTTGAGGGTTCCAAGTTTGTGGTGGAAGGCGTTTTTGGATTGACACCCTCCTGTACCTCTACCCTCCTCAGCCCGGAATTGAAGTATGTTATGCAGCCCTTGTTTATGCCACCTGGTCGGAAACTGAACGTGTAGCGGTGTTCATTTGATGAAGTGGTTGAATTCCCCCTTTTTTGACCTGGCGGACGGTGAGAAATCATATGATTGTTGGTATTTGGGAGGGGGGAATGGGTTGGGGATGATGTTGTTTGGTTCATCATTTCGTTCGAGTTGCAGCAGGAATTTGGACAAGTCTCAACAACATTTGGGGAACCCTTCTGTGGACCTTTTAAATGCGGATATGAATTGTGCTTTTGGTGCATACTGTGCGAGAATCTTCTTGCAGCTTTCGCCAAAGAGCTCTCAAAAACTACTCTGACCCCCAGCCATGCGCCAATCAAAAGAGCGAGTGACAAGCGTGACCACTTCTCAGTTCTCTGATCTTCTCTGGGAAAATGCATGCAGTGCCGAAAAACACACTCATGAAACCAAAAGTTCTGCCCTCCATTCAACGCAGTTCATTTGAATCAGCACCGTCAGTGTTCTTATAGGCAAGTCTCAGAGGATTGAGAGTGGTTCGGTTGCGCTGCCTCCCCAGGTTTCGGCGGTTTCGACCGGCATCTTGGGGAACCAGGGCTCGTCCAACCTCGGAAACCCTAGGCGGTGACTGCAGACTGTCTATAGAAGGTGTTGCCGGCTCCAAAGATCAACAGACCCTTGCCAAGACTTGTGTGTTCAAACTTCAAACCTGATTAAGAGCCAACACGTCAGTTACGAGTTCACCAATATTGAGGCAACTGTCTACTAGTACGGCCTTGTATCCGATATCATCAGCTTGCTGCCGCCAACACCCCTATAGTCAACGCATCTCTATCAAAGAACTCCTCCAACTTCGCACATGGAGACCTCGCCATGGTCAACACTCCTCGCATCCTCATGGCACCAATCGCGGCGGACAACCACCGCCATGCAACTCACCTCCGCCTCACCCGCCGAACATTCGCACCGCAACGCACCATCGCACCCGCCGAACGTGCGGACTGCCCAGGGGGTCTGAAAAGAGTGAAAAGGCTGAGAAGTCGCCCAACAAATCGGGCAAAGGCCGCCGCGGAGGGTGAATTCGCCCGCTTAGGGGAGCGTCTCCAGATGCTGCGTGGGGCCCACGGGGTGTTGGAGCGTTTCTGCGATGGGATACATGGGAGGGGGAAGTGAGACATCTAGCTTCTTATTGCAAGATAGTATTAGCAATGCCAGGAGCTACTGGTAGCTTCTTGCTCCCCTCACAATGCTTGGCCACGATCCCAAAATCCATCAAAATCCACAGCCATTGATTCTCTCGATGGACCCAGCGCGCTTGTTATTATTGTACTGTTTCATGAAGCGCTATCAGGTGCAGGGGTGGAGGGTTGCCTGACACCAGTATTGCGGCCAGAACATGAACAATTATGGATCCATTTATGTAGGGGCTACTGGGGCGGGCCCAGTCGTACGGAACCTGAGAAATTGTCAGTGCAAGAACATGTTTGGAATCACCCAAGGTCTGTTCACTTGCCTTGACCCGCTTGACTCCTCCACCAAGAACTGCTCGGCGGGGTTCTTCTCGCGGTCTGTGCTCAGACGGTCCGTGCGTTGCTCATCGGTGCTGATGTGCCGCATCAGCGAACCGCGCCATGGGCGTGTGCGTGGCGAAGCAGGCGACGGCGCGCGATGGGCAAAGCCCACAGGGAGATGGCCGGAAGACACCCGGTCGAGGAGGGCGTTCGCGCGTTCCAGATGTTGAGAGAGAGGCTTTCTATAGGGATTTTGGAGGGTAGCGTGTGATTTCGCATCGCCTTTTCACAAGAGAAACGACGAGGGTAGAGGGATGTTCTTGGTGGATATTTGAGTAAACCTGAGTGAAATGTACAACGTGATATGCATCATTGATAGCACAAATTATCCATACAATTCACAACATGCATCGTAGAATTTGCACCCAGTATTTTTTGAAGTGTGCCTCTCTGGCTGTGGACATAGACATAGACAATCATAAACATTTTGATTGTCCCATTGTGGATAAATATGGCCTTGAGATGATTTTCATTTAGTGGTTTGGAAAAATGACTACACTCTATTACACATCTAGTACGCCCTAATTTGATGCTGTTTTATTTAGTTCTTTTTGGTTACTTATGAGTTTACTTGTGTCAGGACACCCCAGTGGTGTTCATGTTTCATTTGAAGCGGTCATACTCCCGCCAGACGGCTGCGAAAGTGATGTATTTCAGATCTTTTCATCTGGGAAGTCGCCGACTCTGCAAGAAGCTACTAGTAATAAGGTGCATCGCTACTAGTAGCAAGAAGCTACATAGTTCTGATGCCCAAATTGATGACCTCGCACCCGGGGGATCTGATGCCATTCCCTGGCAAAGGGCATACACTGATGAACACATCACATGGAAGTGGAAAAGGGCGAGCACTCAGCTTGTGCACTGGGTCGTGTTCTACTCTTCAGAGCCTGTTGCCACCCTTCCCCAAAAAACTGTTCCCATTAGATTGTTTGGTGGTTGAATCTATGTTCACTTTCTCCCCTGTGAAACTGCGCAAGTGAGGGGAATGAAGGGGGGCACGAGGGGGCAATGGATGAAACACAAGGGGAATGCAGAGGGGCTTAAGGGGGCAATGGATGAAACAAGGAGGGAATGAAGCGGGGTACAAGGGGGCAATGGTTGAAACACAAGGAGGCAATGAAGGGTGGTACGAGGGGGCAATGGATGAAACACCGGGAGGGAATGAAGGGGGG